CACCGCCATTCGCCCTTGCCTTTTGAACGGGGAGCTATTATTCGATTTTATCGCCTTCGTTTCTGAGGAATTGTGGCGGTGGTTCACTTTTGCGTGACAGAGAGGTTGCCCCCTGGCAAATAAACGGGGGAGCGATCCCTTGCCTTAATATATATTGATATACATTCTATTAACCGTTTATCTACCACAGATCCCTGCTTGCCTCCTGGGTTGAAGTGCAGCGCAGCCGAGGGAGAGGAGAGCTTTCTGACACGTCTCTTGCTGGTTCACAGAGGAGATCCTGGACCAGAAAACTGCTAAATCGCTGAGTGTCCACCTTTGGAAAAAAAAAAAAACCAACAAAAAACCAACAGGCAGTGCCTAACGCAGGTATAGAGCCAGATTCACATCTTTTCCAGTTGTCCAGTGGCTCCAGTATGGGTTGAGGACTGCCATCGCTGGCTGCCCCTCGGTGACTCGATACATCCTACCAGCTCTCTTATTTTTGAACTGAAACTTCTCAGGAAACCCCGCTGAACTCCCCATTTCTACCGGACTTGGCAAAAACACACTTTAGCAGTTAATCCAGGTCTTCACAGAGTAGAAACCAGGGTTTCCACCTGCGACTCTGGCCGATGGTCGTTGTCAGATGGTTTAGTTTTAGGTAGTCCTGCAAGGGACTCTACCACCCAGGGAGGTGGTTGAATCCTCCTCCCTGGAGGGATTTAAAAGAAGGATGGATGAGGTGCTTAGGGCCAGGGTTTAGTGGTGGGATGGCAGGGTTAGGTTAAAGGTTGGACTCGACGATCTCAAAGGTCTTTTCCAACCAAAGTGATTCCATGTTCTATGATTCTAAGGAGCAGGGTGTTGGACTCGATGATCCTTATGGGTCCCTTCCAATTTGAGATGCTCCATGATTCTACCCCTCTGGGGCACAGCTAATGGAGCCCAACACGCACACGGAGAGGAAACCTGCAGCACAAAGTGCTGGAACGGGCTGGATCTCACTTTGGTTTTGCAACACAGAGTATGCAGGTTTGTTTTTCTCTACTGAGGGCTTCCTGAGTTGAAAGCTTTCCAGTTCTTTCCCTCTCCAAAATAGCAGTTCCCCAATCTTGAACTTCCCTCGGCACTTGCGGTGTAAGGTTAGTGAGTGAGTTCCTGACTGGGTGATACCCTGAGACGTTTTGTGTTTCCTCATTCTTACTACTTTCTGTTCTGTCACACCAAGTGCCACGACTCAGAAGAGCTGCTGCTAAGAGTTGCGGTCTCTAATGTTCCTCTTTGTTTCTCATCCTGGTTCCCAGGCTCCTAGGGACACAGCTGAAAAACATAGCTATGTTTTTGGAGGGAATCATCTGGAGATTTCTGCCTGCTGCTTCTTTTGCAGTGAGAAAGCCGGATGCACATTAGTCAGGATCTTCCTCTCCCTCCAAAACTCATTGCCAAACTTTTGGCTGTGCTTTTCCCCGCAAATTGGCATTTTTAGCGCCCTACAGTTGTGGCTCCACAAGCGTTTGGGATCTCCTTTTCCATGCTGGACCAAACCACGAGCTGATCTTGTGACCGTTTGTACCCCTAGGCCCGTCACGAGCCTGTCTGTGCCCATACACAGCCTCTGTC